TTGGTAATATACGCATCGTGCGACAGTTTTTCACAGAAATATCTTTTTGGGTTGAATTTCGGCTTAAAATAGAAGGCGAAAGGCTAACAAGAGTCAACTACGAGCACTAAAGCAAAAAACGCTAGTATGGGCCTATAAAAAAGACAACTGATAAGATAGTACCTGGAGCAATTGTGACCACACGAATTCCGTGTCGGGAAAGATCACGCGCAATCGGAAGAGTCATTCCCACGATGGCACCCTTGCTCGCTGCATAGGCCGCCTGACCAACCTGGCCATCAAATGCAGCTACACTTGCGGTGTTTACAATCACTCCACGCTGACCATCTTCGTCTGGTTCATTCTCCGTCATATGCAAAGCGGCAAGACGGATTGCGTTGAAGGTGCCAAACGTATTTACCTACAGAGAAATGGTATTCATCAATTACTTTTATCGGTTAGGGAGTCAAGTATAAGACGATTGCCTATGGAGGGGAGAAGGAACCCGAAAACGAAATACCTTAGTCGGACATCAAAAAATATCCACCGCAGTCCAGACGCGCTGAATCTGAATTCAGTGTACCAATTTTACAGATTCAAGTCCTTCGAACAACCTTATTCACGCAAAAGGGTTGCTTCAAAGCAATAGATAATGCGACGTACAAGATAATTATACGACATTTAACTTTTATTCAGTTCTGAAGCATGTGGTCCATCGAGAATAAACGAAAACTTTTTAACATAACCTGAAAGTGGGCGAACGTCTGAATTATGTCTTAAATAGTTAATAATATTGGGGTTAAATGCGACCTCACAGTACGTTGTGTGTCTACGGACTACGCCTAAGAAATGCAAAAAAATGAGCCAAACGAGAAACGAGTTAAAGTGAAGGAAAGTGGTGCGCACAACGACTAAGCAATTCGGTTTGTGATTCGACATGTACGACACGACTTAACTTCCGATTTTAAATTACATTAGTTTTCTTTAACTATCAGTGAGCGTAATGCAAACGTTTCTAGAGAATATAGTTTTTTACCTGACTGTT